TATGGGATGCTATAGATGTAAAACCGTTTACCACATTTAATGTATCAATATCTTGGAAAAAGAATATGAACTGTTCACGGATGAATTTTTATCAAGCTGGCTATGCCCTAACTGCCACTGCAGGACTCCAAAGGGTGATAATTCCAACACTCCCATTCGCACACCTAACTCTGAGCTACATTTAAATGACACCACCCGTCCATCAAAACGCAAAGCCGTATCCTCCACTATCAATGAGAACCGTAGGCTACGTTGGAATCAATAAATGGCAACCTTCTCAAGCTTGCATCTGAAATACATTTTATGAGGGAAGAAATGACTGAAATGAAGGGCGCTATGCAAACAGTTTCGCAATGTCTCTTGGCCTGTACCTCAAGACTAGACTCATTGGAAACGCGTATGTCAAATGCCGAAGGGAAACTTCAGTTCTTGGATGAAAAGGAATCTGAAATATATTCTCTTAAGGCCACCATTTCAATTCTCCAGGAACAACTCAACACCCAGTCACAATCCTCGCTACGAAATGAAATGGAGATCATGGGCATCAACGAAAATGTCAGTGAGAACCTGCAACACATTGTCCTTGTTACGGCTTCTAAGATCGGAATCACCCTCGTTAACGACGACATTGATTTCGTTGTTCGTCCAGGGAGTCGACGTGACCGAACCAAGCAGGAAAGTCAATTTAAAGGACCACGACCTGTCATAGTGCGCTTTCTAAGAAAAGACAAGCGTGATGAATTTTTAAGGGCGACGAAAGCTAGACGTGACCTCACCAACTTAGATATTGAAGTTCAAGGACCTTCTAGAAAATTATACTTCAGTGAACATCTTACAAAATATAATCGCCAGTTGTTTCGGGATGTTAGAACTCGATCAAGAGAAGCGGGTTATAGGCACTGCTGGATCAAAAATAGAAAAATTCATATCCGAAAGCACGAAGGTAGTCCAGCCCGCACTATACGAAGTGCTGCTGACATGGACCGGCACCTCGTTTCCCAGGATCATGAGTGTATCCCATCTTCTTTTCCACACCAAGACAATAAATCAAATTAGCCTGTTTTGCTTGTTATTAAGTTACTGTTTGTTTTGTTGCATGTTATTATTATTCGATGTTAATGGTAATGATTCTTTGCAGCAATGTTATGAGTATTATGAATATTTTTTTCAAATTTTTATTGTTAAATTATGCCAAACGAAAGTGCACAGAAGTATTAGTTTACCGATAATTGTAAAAATAAAACTATTACGTCACCTATTCATAACTTCGTACCTTGAGAAGAACAAAAGCATAAGTGTAAAAATTACATTTTACAGGAGAGCAAAGAAACTGGTTATTTCTTAATAACTTTTAATTGAAAAATCTGGCAGTTTCACCATATTAATGAAAAATTGCGTCAAAAAATACTCTTTCAATTAATTGTACAAGCTAAATATAAAAGTTAATATATAATTAAATATTAACTTTTATTTAAATTACGCTACTCTTTATTGGCCTCTTTTTTTACAAGAGAAATGTATGAATAGATGCACCAATGTTCTTTAGAAAATTAATAATTTTAGAAAAAATATTCGTGAATACATCACCATAGAATGGAATCAGTCTGAAAAGGAAGTAATATTACGCTTTTTTTCACCAAACTAATTTGTTGAATAATAAAAATAAATACTCTTTATGCCATTTTTCTATTTTAAAAATATGAGAAGTATATGTGGTTAAAACATTAACATCTTTTCTCTCTAGATAATATCTTCTTATGACGGAAGTATACTTTGTTATGAAAAAAACAGGTTAAATATTTAATAAAATAATGAAAAGCATATTTTTGTTGAAATCGAATAATTTTTATTATAATAAATACCAGACCATGCCGCTATTTTTAATTGGCAATATAAACTTAACTTTTATTAAAAACAGTAATAAAGAAATCTTTTACCTAAAATTAAATTAAAACATTAACGTTATCTTAAGTATGAAATGAGATCATAGGATTTACAAATATTTATTAATTGTACTACATAATTATTTAGTACTTTTCCTTGTGGAAACAACTTATGCTTATAGAAACTGCAAACAGCATCTGACGTGCATAACAAAATTAAAACCTATGAAGTTTAATTATTAATATACAATTTATTATTTGGATACCGCTGACATGAAAACCATTTATACTCATAAGAATTAAAAACAGCATCCGACAAGCGTAGCAAAATGAAAACCTATGAAATTTAATAAATGTATCACATAATTATTTAGGCACTGCTGACATGAAAACAGCTTATAAAAAGTAAAAACCTATACGTATAAAACTAAAAATCAGATACTGACGTGGATAATCAAAATACAACCTATTGAAAAAACTAATTAGTTAAGATTACAAAAGAATCTTAATCCTCATCGGACGTGTCTTGCAGTATGTCATTTTCAGCGGTTAGGTTTTAAAAAAAAACTTTGTTAATAAGCCGGTATAGCATTTAATTCACACAAACTATTTAAATCTTTATGTAGAGCTTTTGAGATAGGTAACGGACCATTATACGCAGGTTTAAGCTCAATATCTGCTGGTGTTCCATTCCTTTTACGTTTACGTGACGAGGAACGATTACAAATGCCTAGCACGTAGTAATTCTCTTGTTCAAAATCACATTTATATAGCAATTTTCCAGATAAATTAGAATCTGCTTTTATTTCTTTGAAGTGCGACAGCAAATTTTTTTTTCCGTCTACGTCATATGCTCAATTTCTATTTACTGTTGATATAGATTTAAAATTGTAAATGTTGGATTGATTGACTTCGTACATTATAAACTTGTTATGAACCCTAGAATTAGTTATAACTTCGTACACTTGATCAGGCGTATAAATAATTCTATGTTTCATATTTTTTTCAATTGAGGAACGCATAACATCACCTTCATTCTGCGTATGGCCTGTTTGCAAAAACCGGTGCACAATTTCTATGTAAAATATTTGTGAATCATACATGTACATAAAAAAATAAATCTATTACGGTTTTAACCTGAACAATTATCAGAATAGAAAGAAATCTGTTTTATACCCCGTTTGGCTTCTTTTTCTGTAAAATGATATAAGCAACTTGCAATTTCATTTGCACCTCTCTTTGTAATTTGCGCATGCCGTACGTAACAATGACCTTGCCGTGCTAATAAATGAAACACCGTGAAATTATACACAGGATATTTTCTTTTATAATGAAAAACTTCTACATTAGATTGAGAAATGTGTTAAACTTTTTCTAAATCAAAAACTGTAACTGTTTTAATACATGGATCTGCTATATACTTTTCCTGATCTTTTATTTTTCTAACAATTAATTTATTTTTTAAATGATTGTTATAGTTACTCTGTAATTTTATCTTACCTTCGTTATCAGCAATATCATATATACTGCAAATTTGACACATGTCTTTCTTCGGTCGATGAAAAAGGAAGATTAAATTTAGTATTGAATATCTGTGTGTATTGACACTGACTGGCTAATTTGATACCTTGGAAATGTTCAGTTTCAGTCATCAAATCTTTATAAAGCCTATACATCTTTGAAATGTTAAGATTTTCGGACAAGTATTGTCTAGTAGATTTTCCTCTTAAATAATGTGACTCTATACAAGGAAAGGACTTAATATGCTGTACTACATTCTCCAAAGTATTATCTTGAATTTTACAAGGTCGTGTAACGGCGCTGTCGTCGCGCCACCAGCACACCGAAACACACCGAAGCCTAAATCGCGCTATTAACTTTCCGAATCATAGACAGTATATATAGAACTTCTCCGAACTATCACATGGAGTGTTGGCCGCTCCCCGGGCAGAACACCTTGCCCGGCGGGAGATCTCCCATTTTCCTTCCACGGCCACAGTGGTGACCCCGACGTGATCTGAACACGCAACCAAATAACCTTCGGAAACTTCAAGCTTCATCATCGTCATGGAATACCCCACCCATTCGCTCCCGAGCAGATATCGTCTGCAGTCTTCATATCCTGCAAGCCATCTAGCTTCACAAGGTTCATCGCAGCACTGGAATAATAATGCTTCCTGTTCCTTCAAGCTACTCTCTGCACCATACAGTGTTCGGCACGGCTCTGAGCCTTACTGCTCGCCTCTGCTTCACGGCACTCTCGCAGATTACTTGCCTTCTTCTCGACTCACCGCAGAATACAAGGCAATCTCCTGGCACTTGCACATTCGTCGGCAACGATGCACTATCGACCTCCGGTCTGAGCAGGGGGGTGATGTAACGGCGCTGTCGTCGCGCCACCAGCACACCGAAACACACCGAAGCCTAAATCGCGCTATTAACTTTCCGAATCATAGACAGTATATATAGAACTTCTCCGAACTATCACATGGAGTGTTGGCCGCTCCCCGGGCAGAACACCTTGCCCGGCGGGAGATCTCCCATTTTCCTTCCACGGCCACAGTCGGTTCGTATGCTTAACCCTTAAATCTAAAATTTGTTCATTATTAGAAAGCTTATTCATGGCAGTATAAACGACTCGTTCTTTAATTCCTAATGTATTTATAAACATTGTTTTACAGACCTTAGTTTTAAAGCACTGTCATTATTCAAAGGCAAATAGTAAATGAAAGTATTAGTACATAACCTTTGGATTGGTTGATTCAGTATTATTTAAAATGAAATACCACTGCTTTTCATGATCACCTATTTGCCAGAACAAGTCAAAAAATTTATTTCGTACTTCATCAGAAAATTTTTCAAAACAATACATTTTACATGGCCACGGATCTTTCATAGTTTTGCTACACAAGGTGTTTAGTTTTTTTACTTACATAAGCCTTACCTTTATTTTTATGTTTCTTACTCTTTTCAGAAATCCATTCATTAGTGTTTGATTTATTTTTCCTAGGCTTAAAATTTCCTTCATTTATTAGCAAAGGTTGAGACTTTGTGGCTTCAGCTGTATCAAAATTGTTTGTATTCGTAACATTACATATAATATCAGTGACAATTGAATCAGTATTTGTAACAGATGAAGATAATGGGATATCTGCGTGGTTGTGGTAAATTCTTCAAATTGAGAGAATTTTCTTCAATAGAAGATGACGAAATATCTATTGAGGGCGATAATGGTTTAACTCCTTCGATTCTACTATAATAATTAACTTGGGATGTTATATCACTATCATCAGCTAATTCTTTTGAATTCTTAATAATGTTTATATTTTTGTAGATAATTAACGGGGATGCAATGAAATCTACAATACTGTGCATTTTTAAAGGGCTATCAAATTTGAAGGTACTTTCTGAATCATTCTGAGGACTATTTATCATATCATGAATCAGCGACGAAGGCAATGGAGAACATAATTCTCTTACTAGACTTGAGGAACGACTTGTGTGATGACTCGGTAAATATTCTGATACAACTGGAGAATAAGGTTCTTCCATATCACTTGAATTATTCTCCGTGTAGACTACCATGGCTATATCTCGAGATTCGCGACTTGTTGATGGTACAGAATTTTCATAAACATTTTTTAAAGTCTTCTCTTTGCTAGGTTTTTCTGCAACAGATATTAATATCATCAATCTAGGTCAATTTAGAAGAAGATTACGAGTAAACATTTCATCATTGACCATTCAAGAGCAGACAATGCAATGTGACGATAAAGGCAATGTTGTTTGTCCAAATCACTAACCTAGCCCAAATCCTACTCATATAATAAATGTGATATTTTGTTAAAAAAATTTAAAGTTAAAGTTGCAACCTACATACGTCCCACTCCCGGGCACAGACCTCCCCTCATTTCTGTGAGGGTTTTAGGGCAAGGAAGTGTCCGCCGAGCTGCCCCTATGCGTGTTGGCGAACTCCATATGTCTTTGAAATATTTTTTTTATTTCTCTGACATGCAAGTTTCCTTACAATGTTATCCTTCACCGCCGAGCACGTGGTAAATCAGCACTTAAAATTGCAATTAACAATTTCATTGGTGCCGGCGGGGATCGAACCCGGTTTGCTCGCGCATTGTGAAATTTACAGCGAGCGCAAACCATCTGAGCTATCACGGCTCTTAATATTAATTCCTTGTTAGTTTCTTTGTATTTCAATTATGCTTAAACAGCTTAGCAAATTTGGATGAAATGCATACAACACGACTCGAAATGGGGGTAAAAACCTATTTAAATTTTCGAACTAAATAACGGCACACACTTATTTCAATCTGCTAGATAATAATAATTACCTAAGATAAAACATATTCTCATTCAAACAATCGCAGACTACCCTAAACAAAGGTTCACAAAGTCAGTTAGAAAAAGTAAAAAAAAAAAACAATTACATAAAATAAGAAATAAAATACTTACCTTTAGGTATCTACTCGTAAAAGTAATGACATAATCTTTCTAGATCTGTTATTGTACATTGTTGTATAATATAATTATTATTGTGTATTAGACACAAGAAACTTTCATCAATCTAATTTTCAAAGCACCATAACAACACTCAGGCATTGCACTTGGCATATTGAACTATTTTAGGATATTCGCGGTTAACGATACGACACCTGCCCCGCTCTCCGCACTCACGCGCGTATTCGCGCTTAGCTCGGAATCCTTTCAAATAACACTTAAGTATGCAAGCTTACGTGAATACGACATTTATATTTTTAGGGGAACAAAGCCGTAATCGACATTACACTTAAAAATTAAGACAATCATATTGCTTAATCAATCAAACAGCTTTTATTTGTAAATAAATTTGTAACTTATTTAGTGATAATCGCGATAATTTGTGGGGAACAATAATTTTGAACAAGGAAAATTTATGTTAAAATGTTTACATGAATAACAACATTTAAAATTTTGCGACAAAAAAGACTTTCTAACGTTTAATGAAATTAATAATTATATTTATTCAGGTTTAAAAAGTTTTTCAGCTATTTACTTGTAGGTTATTTATTTATTTTCTGCGTAATCTATAAAACGACTTTTTTAGTCGATTTATTTTTTCTAAGGGCAAAAATGCACAGATTAAAAATTTTATCAATAATCTCTTAATACTAATAAGAAAAATTTGAAAAAAATTGAGCGTATGTAATTTGCGTTGCTCTTTTTGATGGTGTAAAAACAAACAAATCGACATAAGACTACTTATGCTTTTGTTCTTCTCAAGGTACGACTTATGTATTTAATAATCTTTACTTTTTTTACAAATAGTTATAATACACTCGCTAATGAATTTCCTTCTAAATCATATTATGTTACACATATTTGTAATTTAGGCAAAAAACTACTATTGAATATCGCGAAGAAAAGACCTTATCTTATATTGCTTATATTCGCATTCCGATTAAAATATACCTCTGTGATTAAAACTATGACTGGCTTAAGTTCTTTGGTAACAAAATGTTTGTATTCCTACCAGTTTATGAGTGACAAGCTCTGTCTCAAATATCTCTTTCTATTAATTTTTTATATACTACGGCCGCCATAGAAATCCAAGACGATATAGAAAAATCTTTATCGATTAAATGTCACTCACTGGACAAACTTGAATATTGTAAGAAAGTTTTTAAATCAAACGATTTTAAACTTCTCACTTTTAATATACGTAGTCTTCAACATAATTTTAATGATTTTGTGGTAGTCCTAAAGAGATTAAACATTACATATGACGTTATCGTTCTGACTGAATGCTGGCTACATGATAGCTCAGTAATTGGGTAAATATCCGGTTATAAGTCCTTTCATACTAAAAAGTATATCAATAAAAGTAGGGGAGTGGTTATTTACATTTGGTTGGACAAGTGGATGCCCTCTGTGCAGGAGCCCACCTTTGATGAGGCAAACTGCCTTAGGGTTGACTTGGATAACTCATTGTCTATCCTATGCATATATCGCTCTCCCTCATTTCACAACTTAAACGGCTTTCTACAATCTTTGGACAGTACACTTTACAGCTTACAGGATAGGTCTTGTGTAATAGTGGCGGGTGACTTAAATATCAATCTGTTAGCTAACGACACTGATTTGCAGGTATCTGATTACTTATGCCTAATGGCTTCCCACGGGTTGTTGTCAGCCATTTCAGAGCCTACTAGGGAAGATACATGCTTGGATCACATTTTCATTAAATGCAAACAAGTTATCTCAGCAGCTGTGAGCTTTGCTGAAAATAAACCTAAATCGAAAAACAGGTACAGAAATATTGTTGATATCGGCGCAATTAATTTGGACCTTTGCGGTATGAACTGGTCGACAATAACTGGCTGTGAAGACGTCAACGAGGCCACTTTTAATTTTGACCAGATTATACAATCAGCTGTAGGCAAACATACTAGTAAAGTAAAATTGAGTCGCACTAAATACAACATCAAACCCTGGATTACTCCCGGGCTAATGAAATGTATGCGACATAGAGACCTTTTGCATAGTCAGGTCCGTGCGAACCCCAATGACGTCGTGCTTAATCTGACCTACAAACGATATCGCAACTATTGTAATGACCTGCTGCACCGACTCAAGGCTGAGCTCGAGAAAAAGCTAAAAAACCATAAGCGGAATCCTAAAAAGCTTTGGCAGGCAATAAGAAACGTTTGCGAGGTCCCCCAAAGGAGTAAGGCCCATAGCACACGGCGTATGTTAAATGCGCAGACGACGCGCAGATTACGCGCGTATACGCGATTCAAACGGGATTTGATCACAACCTTGTAACTTAAGCACACGGGGTGATCGTGAAACGTGCCTCTACTGCGCGTATACGCGCAGATACAGCGATACAGACGCGCTGTAGTCGCTCGTAGATTTTGCGTTTTTCAGATCAGTGACTCCTCCTTCAGTTGTACAATGGCGTCGGTTGAGACAACACTGCTTACGTTGGCTTTAGTACTTCTTTTAAAAAGAAAAAAAATGTAAAAAAAAGCGAATCTATTGGATAGACCCATTTACGAGTGAAAAAAGATTGAGTGGTCATTATCATACAACGTTTAAAAAATACATAGAAGATGGAAGAAATTTTATAAGTGTTATCGAATGTCATATACGTCATTCCAAGAACTTCTTTTGATTCTAAAACCGGAGTTAACTCGTCAAAATACAGTAATGAGATCATGTATATCGGCAGAAGAACGTTTGCTCATCACATTGAGGTAAGAAAACAACTAGTATTTATTTATTTATTTATTATGTATTTATTTATTTATTGACCTGTTACAGTTTTAAATCAATCGTAAAATGTTATAAGTGCACTTAGATTATTAATAAGAGAAAAAGATTTATTCAATATCATCATACATGTCAGATATGATATCGGAGTCATTTGTAACCGATTCATTGCTATCCAAATTTTGGAGTGAACTGACAGATTCGTTTCTTGGCGCTGATTGATTACTTGGATATTGAGGCTGAAATTCAGACTGATATCCAGACTGATATCCATACTGATGTTCATATTGAAATGCACCTTGGTATCTATTTTCATGTAATGTTCTCGATGACTGTCCCGTATTTTTATATTTACGAATTAAATTTATCATATCAGCTAAGGCTCTAACTTAAATTCCTCTTTGATGGCAGAAAAATCTTTAGCTAATGAAACTAAGAACAGTATGTCGGGATTTTCAGATAAAATTGTATTATTCGCTTTAGACTGTTTGAGATTTGCTGTCAGTGCTTCATACAATTTTTCCTGTGGTTCTTCATGTTTTGGAGTCTTTTTAGACTTCTTTGGTGAATCTGGCTTTCGAAAATCACAGTCTTTGTCATGCCCCAGTGCTGCATTATCATTTTGATTTGGAGATCTTATTTCGTAAAGCGGGTCTAAAAAAGTTTGCAAATTGGAATATATGTAGGGTCTTCTAGGCTTAGCTCCAGATCCACTGGAACAGTTATTGTTCTTCGCTTTGTCTCTTTTATAAGCGTCCTTAATACTCTTCCATTTTTTTTTGAAGATCAATGACTGAAAACAATAATAATGTCAATAGTTTAGTTATTTATTAGGTTAATTTTAATTTATTTGAAATAAGTAGTTGTAGGTTAATTTTAATTAAATATGTAAAATTTACGATGACAATAGAAGTTTTAATAATGTTATTCTTTTTCAGGTATTTAGCTACGGGTTGCTATTTCTCAGATATTCACTATGACTTTAAGTGTGGACAAACGACGGCAGGCATTATAGTCCGTGAAACAGTGAAAATAATATGGGATAAATTGAAAAACATCTGCGTGCCAGAACCAACCGAAGAATCACATCTAAAAACTGCTGAAGGATTTATGAAATACGCAAATTTTCCCAACCTACTTGGGGCTATCGATGGGAAACATATTAGAGTTATAAAACCTCAACATAGTGGATCAGAGTATTTTAATTATAAAAAATATTTTTCCATCGTATTGCTTGCAATATGTGACGCAAATTACAAATTCATCGATATAGATTTTGGATGCTATGGAAAGGCTGCGGACTCAACAATAAATGAATGTAGTGAATGGACCAAAAAGATAAGGCAAGGAAATTATAATATACCAAATGCGAGACCAATATCTAATAATGGAGTGCCAATACCATTTACATTTGTTGGAGATGAAGGCTTTGCATTATCTCAACATTTACAGAGACCTTACGCTGGAAAAATCTTGCCACGAGAAAAAAGAATATATAATTACCGCTTGACACGTGCCAGACGATACATTGAATGTACATTTGGTATATTAGGCAACAAATTTAAAATCTTTAATCGACCACTGAACGTAAGCGTGGACTTCAGTGTGCCTATTGTGAAAGCCTGTTGTGTACTGCATAATTTCATACGTGAACGTGACGGTTATAATTTTCATAATTCTTTGAGTATAGCTGGTTTAGGAGATCCTCCTGAAGATGCAAGTTTGATTTCGATTGGTGCAAGACGGTCACAGGGACAATTAAGCGGAACTACGATACGAAATATGTGCACTGATTATTTTATTAGCGATGAAGGTGCAGTACTATGGCAAGATTCTAAAATTTAGGGTACCTACCTAATTACATGTTCTACTGATTTACTGTTCTATGTACCGCCGCACGGTGGGCGGAATCTGAAAAAAGGAACTTACGATTTTTTTTTCGAAACGTCAATTTTTTGTTCAGCCAATCGACAGAAGCCGTCAATACAATCGACATTTATAAATTGTAATTTTTTCTAAAAACGAATATTTAATGAGATATGATGACAAATTTTTAATTCATAAGTTCCTTTTTTTCAGATTCGGCCCAACGTGCGCCGTGAAGATAGCCACCCCATGTCGCGTGCCCACGTTTTAGGGTGCTAAATCGTTAGTTCCAATAAGTAAAAAAATCGTAAGAAGGAAAGCGGAACAAACGAAAATTACACCAGAACTTATCACAACTAACGATTTAACACCATAAAACGTGGCACGCGACATGGGGTGGCTATCTTTACGGCGATGTTTTATGTGTAGTCCTAAAACAAATACATTATTTTTAAATAAATATAATAAATCTTACCTGCCAGGTTTTTTTTCTTACTGGGTTTTTCATTGAAATTGTTATAAAAAATTTGGCACAATTCATCCCAAGCATTTCTTTTTAACACTTTGTTTTATATTCAGGCAGTAGTGAATTCCATGTAGTGTGACGATTGTTTATTTCTATTATGAAGCGATCGGTGTCGAAGGGTTCTATTTTATACCAAATACACGCGCAGCACACAATAAACTATTATTGCAACTGAGGCGCGGGCGGTGCAGTAGGCATGTCGATCTAAAATCGATTAATCGAAAAATGGATTCTTTGGAGTAAAATTATCGATTTTTTAGATCGATTCGAAGCACCGCATCGATTCACTGAATCGATCCAAAAATCTCTTGAATCGGACTGATTCATTTGATTCAAGAACTAGCCAAAATTCCCAAACTGGCTGGGGTAAGATGCCACAGTTTTTTAATTTTTTGCTGTTGGGGGACGCAAAAACAACCGGTCGTACTTGGTTGATAATGTTACGCGCTCAAATCGACGATACACTAGCGCCATCTAGTGTCAGGAACGAGAGCGAGGAGAGCATTGAGAAAATGACATCACAAATCACTCAACCGACAGCGCCTAGTTGAAACTCGAACGCTCGGTACCTTGCGCGTGTTTACTTGAACATTCTGGATATTTCTTTGCTAATTTAAATAAATAGGCGCTGCAAGATGCGATCGAGGTAGTGTTGATTTGGCGAAACAAGCGAAGCTTCGGAGCGGAATAAAGTGAATTAGTGTGTTTAATTATTAGTGTTTTTAACTTTAATTTGTGTAAAGTAAATTAAAGTGTTAATTTAGGTAATTTTATCGGCAATTTTTATTGTCACGAACCTCAAGCTCGTAACAATTGGTGTCAGAAGTGGGATAAAATCATGCCGATTTTACCTAAGGAGGAAACGGAGGGTGTCCGTACCCGAAGTCAACGCCAGCAGGAGACGGACCAACGAAGATTTGGTGGTGCAACGCCGCAGACGTCGGAGGGCCAGCCACCGGCTGCAGGCCCGTCGGTAGCTCCTACATCTGCAGCACCTGACTTAGGTGCTCTGATGGTGATGCTGCAGGAGCAGGCTTGCCGACAGGAGGAATAGGCTCGCCGACAGGAGGAACAGGCTCGCCGACAGGAGGAACAGGTCCGTCAGTTGAAAGAGCAGCTGCAGAGCGGACAGGAGGAACAGGCCCGCCGATTGGAAGAGCAGCTGCGGGGCGGACAAGAGGAGCAGGCCCGCCGACAGGAGGAACAGGCTCGTTGGTCGGAAGAGCAGATGCTCCTCATTAAGGACCTTCATGCTACCTTTGGGAAAGAGATAAAGGAAGTGAAGGATAAGGTTGCTCAACATGACAACCGCCTGTCGGAAGCTGAAACCCAAATCAAGGAAGCTAAAACCCAAATCGACCAAGTGAACAATCGGGTTGATTACGTGGTGGCTGACGTGAAGAAAACGCTGGACGACCTCAAACTGGGTGATGGAACTACAGCTCCCGTAGTAGCTACTACACCTTCGCTACGTGGGTTCAAAGTACCACCGTTCGACGGGACTTCTTCCTGGTCAGCCTACAAAATCCAGTTCGAGGCTGTTATGAAGGCGAACGGCTGGAATAAAAATCAGGCCATGACTGCTCTCACACTAGGCCTGCGTGACCAGGCCTTAACAGTTCTGGAAGCTCTCGGTGAGGAAGTGACTTATGTGCAACTCCTTCAGGCATTGGAGGCGAGATATGGCGACGCTCACCTGGAACACGTCTTTCGTGCGCAGCTTAAAGATCGTGTGCAGCGCATCAACGAAAACCTGCAGCAGTGGGCTCTAGAAGTGGAGAAGCTGGTGCGAAAAGCATACCGATCTGTACCTGCGCTCATTGAAGGGAACCTGGTGCAGACATACATCGACGGCATCCGCGACCTGGAAGTCAGAGCTGCTGTGAGGCTCGGGCACCACGAGACGCTTAAAGACGCCTTGGCCCATGCACTGGAAGTGGAAGCCGTGCGGCAGGATCATCGTTCCCATCGCGTCAGGGAGGTTGCAGCAGCTACAGTTCGCTACCGCAACAAAGGATACAGCCCAAGGTGCTATGGCTGTGGGGAAAAGGGCCATCTTCGATCCAGCTGCCCTAAGCGAACCCTAGAAAGGGAAGGTGAACGATCTCAGGAGGGTAGTGCGGCTAACAGCACCGCCCAGCAGCAGCAGGGAAACGAGTAAAAGCCAGAACTGCGGGGCGGGTGCTGGCTGATGTTATAAGAGCCCCAAGGATCTCGATCTCACAAACCCATGATGGGAACAGTCTAATCATCAAGGGCGAGGTCAACGGAATGCCGTGTAAACTGACCATAGACACTGGAGCCTCTCGTACGGTTGTTAGTTCCCAACTTATAAGTCAGTTCCTTGGGGACTCCGCATACAACCGAGAACGCATTAATTTGGTAACAGCCACCGGTCAGCGTATACCCGTCCGTGGAGAGAAGGAGATGGAGTTGAAGCCAGGCAACGTGACCTACCTGCATAATGTCATTGTGGCTGATATAATGGACGACTGCATCCTAGGCTTAGACTTTATGAGGAATAATTGTTGCGAGATCGACGTTAAGCAAGGTGTTTTGAAATGTGGACAGGAGGAACGTTTTATGGAAGGTGCGTTACCAGGGAACGTGTACAGCATTAAGAAGATTGTTCTTCCGCCGAGATCGGAAACGATTGTTGTGGTTAGTCTTTCTCGAAACGCTGGGCAAGCCCACCGTTGTGTACTTGTGGAAAGGGTAAACAATGACCTTCCATGGAAAGTAGCTCGAACCTTGGTCAGGACCACTGACATCTCAGGAGTACGTGTGCTGAACCTTTGCGACCGGGATCAGATTATAGAAAAAGGCACACTGATTGGTACTTGTGAGGAAGTGGATTGGTTACGTCGGTGCCAATATTTATCGAGTGGGACCCCCAGCAAGGATGCAGAAACGAGAGTGACCACACTTTTGGAAGACTGTCGGAGTGTTCTCTCCCCGAACGAATTGGTCAAGGCGAAGAAGTTGTTACTCAAGTACGCCGATGTATTCTCATCAAACGATGCTGACATAGGAAAGACTAGGGACAGAAGGGAATAGAAAGAAGAGGGACTCTTTAAATAAATAGGCGCTCTTGCGCCTTTCTGTATCCGGTAGGTTACATCGTTGATCCTGGTCACAATCCGGTACGGGCCGTCCCATTTAGCTTGAAGCTTAGAAGATTTCCCTTTGCTGCGGACTGGATTGTGCAACCACACAAGTGAACCTTCGTCGAACCCTTTGTTGTTCATTTTGTGGTCATACCGGGTTTTTATCTTTTCAGACATTTGCTGGCCCGATTGTCTGACGTGCTCATAAACGTCATTCATTTTTTTCCGCAAGTCGTTTGCATAATCGGTTATACTGCGTGGAGCATCAGGTGGTATCCCGGTGATCAGGTCTGC